ACTTCCACGACATCTGCACAGCCCGCGTCTTTGGCAGCCAGGAATGGGAGCTCGCCCCCTACGCCAGCCAACCCATCCTCGCCTGCCACCACCTCTTTGCCTCGCCGCGTCGACACCAGCCCCAATCCACCGGCTACGACAGGAAATGGGGCGACGCCGGCGAGGTCGTCCAGCCCCTGCCCTTCACCGGCCCTGGCGCCAACTACGCCGCCTTTGAAGCCACCAAGGTCAACCGCGCCACCCTCCAGACCATCCGCGAGAAGCTCCCGCCATGTCTGGGGCGCGCGTTCCGCAGCCCCGAGGCCATCGCCCGGGACTTCCTCCCCTTCCTCGCGCGGCTCCTCTCCCCCGACATCAAGCCCGTCGTCGTCGGCGGCGGCAACGACAAGTCCAGCTCAGTCGCCAGCGTCCGCCGCGAGAGCGAAAAGGCCATGGTCCGCCGCTCCGCCGCCGTCCTCGCCGAAGTCGGCATCGAGCTCCTCAAGGGGCGCATCGAGTCGGACCCGGCCGCCGGGCCCGCCGCCCGCGCGCAGTGGGTATATCGTTTGGAACCGTGAGCCCCCCCTCCCCATGATCGTAGCTCTTGTACTGACACATCCCAGTGACATTGACGCCCTCGCCACTTTCGAAACCGCCGGCTCCCTCATCCTCGGCTCGCAGGCCCCGACCCGCTACGCCGTGCGCCAGGTCCTCGACCAGGAGCTGCAGCGGGCGCTCGCGCAGCGGGAGACCGCCGCGCGCCAGGCCCGTCTGCAGATGGGCGGGCCCGCGACGGAGAGGCCCGACGGGAGCAGGTACGGGGCCGATGGCAACAAGGAGAATAAGCGGCGCAACAAGGACGTCGCGAGCGTGGAAGACGTGAATGTCAAGCGGGACTTTTTTGGGCGGGTGATTGTCGAGCGCACCGGCGCCCTGGAGGAGCGCGACGGGAATGGGAGGCGCAAGAAGGTGGTGCAGAAGAAGGGGGGCAAAGTGTGGGTGACGTATCACGAGGGGCTGAATAATGCCGTGAGGAAGCCGCTGTCGTTGGAGGATTTTATGAGGGGGTTTTGAGGTGTGGATGGTCGAGGACGCCCTGGTGGGTGTGGATGGGTCTAGGACGGGAGGGTTGCGTCCTCCCGGCGTGTTGCAAGAGACACAGAAATAAACTGGTTACATCCCCTCGAGTCCCTACTCCTCTGTCACGACCTGCTCATCCATCTCCCTCAGTCTCTCCACACTCAACCTGTCTGCCTCGGCATTCAACGTGTCCACCTCCCCCCTCACATACGGGATCCCCTTTTCCCTTCTCTCATCCTCACACACCTGCTCCTTCTCCCCAGGGAACCTAGTATCGAAATGTCAGCCATGATCACCTTGAACCGGGACACACCCTCCCCCCCAACAACTCCCACCGAAAAAGAAAAGGAAAGAACTCACCAAATCCTATCCACCCCCTCCCTCCTCTCCGCCCCCACCACCCTCTCCCACAACACCCCCATCCTCTCCCTAAACTCCTCCGCACTAACAAACAAATCCGCCCTCATCACCACCACCAAATCTGCGAAAAAAGCCCATGTCAGCATTGGAACAAGTTCAGGAAAGCACCAGGGTACCGAAACCGCAGTCCACCTCCCACCCAAAGCCTCCGGCCCGGGACAGCAAGAAATCCGACAATACATACTAAAAAACCGTTAGCAAACATCACCCCCCACTTCCCCCCAAACACCCAGGCGCACTCACCGTCCAACCCCCGCCTCCCCCCGCAAATCCCCCGGCCCCCTCACCCCCCCCGCAAACCCCCCGGTGCCACTCATCACCCCCCCCATCACCTCCCCCACAACCGCCAACCCCACCCCCTTCGGCCCCCCAATCGGCACCATCGTCGCCCCCCCCCTCAACGCCTCCGCGGGATCCTCCGTCCCCCCCCCCCTCTCATCCAGCGCCCACCCCCCCGGAATCCCCTCCCCCCTCCTCAACGCCCTATGAATCCACCCCCGCGCCGCGACACTCGGCGCCATATCGAGGATAAACGGCCGCGGACGCCCGGGCGCGCCGACGGCGATGGGGTTTACCCCGAGCAGCGGGGCGCGACCGCCCCATGGGGCCAGGGCCGGCGAGGCGTTGGTGAAGATTTGTACGAGGTACGGACCGGAGGAGAGGGCGCGGCGGACGAGCCACGCGGCCATGCCGAAGTGGTTGGAGTTTTTGACGGAGACGAGGGCGATGCCCGAGGTGGAGGCGAGGGCGACGGCGGTGTCGATGGCGAGGGCGCAGGGGGGGAAGGCGAGGGTGTTGTGGGCGTCGATCTTGGGGTACCCCAGTTAGTCCGGGGTTGGGGGGGGTGGTGGGGGGGGGGGGGAAGGGGGGGTACTTGGGCGACGGCCGGGGTGATTTGGGTGAGGGTGGGCTCGGCGGCGGGGTCGAGGACGCCGGCGCGGATGCGGGCGAGGTATGACGGGAGGCGGTTGATGCCGTGGGACTCGACGCCGCGGAGGTCGGCTTCGACGAGGGCCGAGGCGGTGATGGCGGCGGCGGGGCGGGGGACGCCGGCGGCGAGGAGGAGGGTGGTGGTGAAGAGTTCGGCGTCTTGGTGGCGGATGAGGACGGGGGTTTGGGGGTCGGCCATTGTGAGTGTGGGTGGGTGGGATGAAGTTCAGGTAAGGTGATGGTGAGGGGAGGTGGTGAGTGAGGGGGAGGGGAATGGAAACACCGCAGTTGGGGTTGGGGGACAAGTCAGGGTTGGGGGACAAGTCAGGGTTAGGGTGCCCCTGACCCCGTGTGTGAGGTACACAACCAAACAGGGCGATCAAGTCGTGATGGAAAGCGAAATCAGGGTTTCTTGATTGTCCCATATCTCCCTACTCATACAGGCGGCCAAGACACACTCGTCTCGTTGTTGTAGTCCACCGACTCACACCTTTGATGCATCTGGTACTGAATCGCCCCCTCAATCCCCACCAGCCCTCCGTTCGCCAGCTTGCCCCACGACTCCTGAAAGAAGACGGGCGAAAAGTGCGGCGTCCCGGCCGGACGGTCACCGTAGCCGGGGATCTCGACGACAAAGTCGGCATCGACTCGGGCCATGGCGGGGCCGTTGACGAGCTTGATTCCAAAGTAGTACCCCTGAGAAAGGTTTACCAACTCCCTAATGATTGGGTCAGCGGTGTGATGTGCGTCCAAAAAAGGGGTTCCTACACAAGTCCGGTATGGTTGTTTTCCATGCTGATGGTGAGCTCAAAGATGTCGTCTGGTGCCACTGCTGCCATGTTAGCTCTCACATAGATTGTGAAGGAAGCGTGGAGGCCATACCTGGCATCATCCTCGTGTCGAGGTGATATGGAGGTTCTGGGATCCACTCCCACCAAGCCTCATGTCTACACACAACTGTCAGATGGTGACCACCAAAGGGACGATTTTGATCCTACGTTATGGACCCGTCTTCCCAGAGCTAAACATCGAGTAAGCCGCCGTTCAAGTACCGCATAGTCTGGGGGCTCACCTTGCAAACTGTTCCCGCCTGGAGAAGCCCCAGGGTGGGAGCACTGTTGCCATCAATGCCGCCCCAGGCGGCCAGGGCTTGGGGATATCTTTCCCCTTCCCTCGCGGTGCAGTGAGGGTGGTTCCAAAAGGTGTGCAACACCTGAATGGGGTTGTTCAAGGGGACTCTGTTGACGGCCCCGCACCAGTTATTCTGAGTTGTATTAGTGATTTGTGTCTTGAAGGGGGTGAGAATCACTTACACTGTATTTCCTTTCGTTGGGCCCCCTCTTGTCGAGTTTGCGGGCGTTGACAGGCCCCGTCGGTTTATTCATCCGGACAGGGGGTCCCGTCCGCATGTCCGACTTGACCATCTTCATCTTGGACTTGGGTAGCGGCTTTCCATTGTGCTTCGCCTCGTAGGTGAATTCGAGGCCGAGGACATGTTGAGCCGCCAGGAGGACGAAGCCCAAGAACGGAATCGAGGGCTTCATCCTGACTGAAGGCAGGATGAAGCTAAAAGTCGACTGTCACGACCAGGCGTCTGGAAATGGAGGTTTGGCGTGGTGATAATGGTTGATATAGGCTGTATGCATCGATCGCCCTAAATTGGCGGGAGGGCCCACCCCCCCCTTTGGCTCCCGAGTAACCCTCCGCACTGTCAGGGCTGTCCGTAGACGCCTGGGAGCATTCAACCGGCGCCAGACGTCCGGCACGAACACGGCCGACAGACCAACGTCTCCCACCTCGCTGGGCTGCCAAGAGACACGGCCTTCGCACGGTCCCGCGAATGGCACTGCCTGTTCTATTCTGAACGACGCTCCTCTTGCGAATGCAACTCCCCTTGCGTTCACTGCAACAGCGTGTTCGCTGCAACAGCACGGAGCTCTGCTGCTGGCATGGTGGTGCTGGCCTACGTTGTAGTGGCAGCTCAAGATACGAACAAGACCGAGGGGCACAAACATTTCTTTTTCTCCCGAGGCGCACCCTGTTCTATGTGGGAGCTGAATAAATCCCCAGACATTCAGCCTTTTTGCGGCACATGCCGAAAGCTCTTGACGGGGTGGCGACCCAGGGTTGCACACCGCTGAAACCCCGTGCTGGACCTGAATGGGAAAGGGGCTGGGAGCATTGCTGGGTTCAAAGTTTGGTTCGTGGGTAGGCGAGGAGGAGCGGCTGGTTGGGTGTTCCGTTGACAAAAGGCGGAAGCGGAGGCTGCCGGTCCGCACCGCCCCAGCCGCGGACCAAGGCCGAGCTGAGCCGGGGCAAAAGAGGTTAAGTTCCAAAAGGGTAGTATCCAGATGAAGAACTCGCCATGTGGAAATTACATGGCTTTGAAACAGTTGAAAAAGAGAGAAGGGAACTGTGTGCAAGCAGACTATTCAACCACTTGATGACTTTTGTATATCACTTCAGCCTTGAAAGACACCTTTATTGCCAACAGCGACAACTCGACGCCAACAGAAAAGAAGCGAATGAAAACAATATGGGTGGCACCACTGGGTGCGGTCGGGTAGAGGGAGAATGGCAAAAATATCAACTGACAACTGTGAGATTCGAACTCACGCCCTTTCGGACCACGGAACTTTTCAAGATCATCAAGAAGATGATCAAGAGGGTGATTAAGGATATCTCCTTAACGTGGCGCCTTAGACCGCTCGGCCAAGTTGCCTATTGGTTGATGGAGGAGAGGTGAGAATTTTCTGTTGAAGAATGGGGTGGGTGGATGTGCAAAGGTGGGGAGACTGCCGCAGGTACATCTTGTGTGCTGGACCATGCATGCTGATGGAGTCAAGAATCTGGAGAATGTGGGCCATGTGAAGAGGGTGGAGGAAATGGGTACTAGTTTTTCTCAGGTCGTCCAAAGCGGCGAGAAGCAGCTCAAATACCGATGTCCAAAAGGTCATTGTTCCTTCCAACTTTGCTCGCAACAGTCTGGATTTTCAGAACATCCCGCTTTGTTCTTGCCTCTTGTTACTTCCTCCCCCATCAACCGTGAAACCACCCTGTCACCCCAAAGCATCAACTCAAAGAGCACAACCTCAGCCCCGACCTGCAACGTCCTCTTTCAAGCCACGCCCAGACGCCCAACACCAAAGCCAAATCCTCCATGACAACCCACCGCCTGTCTTGAACACAACCCCCCGTCCCCTTCTAGTCCACCCATCAATGTTCCCCCTCTCTAGTCCAACCTCCCCTTGTACTCTCCATCCTCCCCGCCTTTCCCCTTCCCCTTCCCCTTCCCCGGCCTCCTCCTCACGCCACCAAGCAACCCCTCCAGCCCCTGTCCCCCCTCCTCAGGCACCTCCACCCCACACCTCACCCTCAAACTCCTCCAACTCCCCCCAACCGGCTTCTCCTCCCCCACCGGCCGAAACACCACAGTATTCACATACAATCTACACCCCCCCTCAGCAAACACCCTCGCCTCGCACCCCGTCTTCTCCTCCTCCTCCTCTAGCGGCGGCGGCGCGACAAACACCCCACACATGGCGCCGCCGGGGGCAGGTATGTCATAGCACATCCCCTGCCCCTCCCCCGGTCCCGGGGCCTGTTCGACGGGGAACGCAAGCTGCAGCACAGGCCGGCCGCGGCAGCGGGAGGGGCCGGGACCCTTGGAGAAGAGGGTTGCGGTTATTGGATAAGTCGTATTTGTGGTGGTATAATTAGCGGGACGGGGGGCGTTGATGGAGACCTCGCCCGTGTCTTGGGTGATGGTGGGGGGTGGGAGTGCAGAAGTGCTTCGCAGGAGGAAGAGGATGAGCAGGACAGGGTGCATCGTCCGTCCGAGGCACGGCGTATTCTGTTCGTATGTGTGTGATTCCGGTTCATGATCTGTCGGATGACACAGCAGACAGACATCAGCGAACCACAGGTCTTTGACAGACGGGGGTGGCGACGACTTACTCGCGTCGACCCCTTCCTTCGTGGCAACTCCGAGGTCCGGACCACGGTGTCGTAGCCATCCCGCGCACCCCACCCAATCGCGCCCCCCGTGTAACGAGCCGAGGCGCGGCCCGCGCCTCCTCCTCGGGAGTGGCCCGACCGGCGGCGCGCCAAGACCCGTCACTCCTGCCGTGCCACCCACCGGACGAATACGGAGCGGGCCCCGGATTGGCGGGGGCTCCGGGTCCCGGGGCGCTGGGTCGCCGGATTGGTCCGTCCCGGACGCCCGACGAAAAAGGGATGGGCAAACATGGTTGACCGGTGACGATGACACCACCACCACTCCGCGGCGGGCGGGGGGGAGGGGGATCGACGGGTTGACATCACCGTCCCTCTCTGGATTTGCCCGCGCAGGTAATAACTGTTGGGTGCTGGATGGGGTATAAGAGGATGGGTCCCCGTCGTGGGATGACATCTGGTTTCTTTCTTCCCCTCAGCTCAACCGATTTTGCCAACAGGAAACTGTCAGATACCAGATCAACACCACGACCCTTTATACCTTGATACCGATCACACCAACCTCCACCACCACCATGACTCCCAGCTGCTCTTGCAATACGTGCTCATGCACGAGCTGCAGTGACTGCACTTGCTGCGTATGTCCGTCCCAAGAAAAGATGAATGCTGGACACTGACTCGAGTTACAGAAGCACTGAGCAAAAGCCTCCTTGAGGTAGTCCAGGGGGCATGGACTGAGCCTTGGCGATGGATGGGTGGACGAAGGATGTCAGCGTCGTGAGTTGAGGATAGAGGCCTTTGGTGGTCGGCCGGCAGTTAGAAATGCAACACTTCTTGCTTGTTACAAGCCCATGCCCCCTCGTGAAATATCCCGTCTATACCATCAGCCTGGGTATTATGATCTCTATTCCCGTCGAAATGCAAAACCCTCACCTCCCCCCCTTGGTAGGCGCCCAATCCGCCAACCACCCCCTCGCCTTGGCCACATCCCCACCCTCAGCCTCAAGCGCCGCAACACACCACTCCAGCTCCCAAACCCCCTCGGCCGCCAACATCTTTGCCATGTTCAACCTCCGCTGCGACCCCTCATCCACACAAAAGTGCATCTCCCGCCCCTGATCCGGCACTGCCTCCAGCAGCGGCTTCACCAAAGGCAACGCCGCCGCCGCGCTCGACCCCAGCGCCTCCAACCCCTCATTCTTCCTCCCCGTCTTACACCACCCATTCACACACCACCTCCTCCCGCACCCCGCCATAATCTGCGTGAGATACCGCCTCTCAATCCTCCTCCTCAACGCCCTCCCCTCCGGATCATGCATACTCACATACAGCGGCGAAAAGCACAAACTGCACAACCCCAGCTCATTCCCCGCCCCCTGCCCCCTCCCCGCCACCACCTGCCCGCGCGGCCCGACCCCGTGCAGCGTCCGCCCGCACAGCGCGTTCCGGCACAGCGCGGGCTTCGCGCGCCCCGCCTTGTCCAGCGCGTGGTTCGCCGCGTGCGCCGCCATGTCGCGCAGCCGGACGATGGCGCCGCACATGTGGCAGTCGGTGGTGCGGGCGCCGTCGGCGCGCTCGTGGGCCGTGAGGCCCGAGAGGACGGTTTCGGCTTCCGACGAGGGGTCCAGCGGGTCGCCTTCCTGGGGGACTTCGAGGTGGCAGAACTGGCAGAGGATGGGCTTGTGGGGGCAGACGGTGGTGCGGTGGCGGGCGAGTTCCGGGAGGGAGGGGAAGGTGAAGGGGGTGGAGGGGCCGCAGGCGGGGCAGGTGTGCGGGGTGTGCTGGTAGTAGTCGTGCTTGGATTTGGAAGAGGGGGTGGTGCCGTGGGCGGAGGGGTGGGTTGGGCAGTGCCAGTGGGCGGACCATTCGGGGGAGGACTTTTTGAAGACGGTCTTGCAGTGGGGGCAGAGGATGTTGTTCCGCAGGCAGAAGTTTTCGTGGAGCATCATGGTGCGCTTGGGGATGAGCTGGAGGCAGTTTTTGCACTGTTCCTCGTCTGCTGACGACGGCGCATCGCCTGGGGCCGGAGCGGCGGCGGACTCGGTGGTATCGGCCGACTTGGCTCGGAGGATATATCGACGGGGAGAGGGGTCAGATGTTGCCTGGCTGGGATCGGCAAAGCCATGGACGGAGATGAGAAGGGCTTCGGCATCTTGGAGCTCGATATTGGTGGGCTGGATGACAATGCGCTTGATGCCGTCGCTTGGTGATGAAAAGTCGGCAAAGATGTACTCGGACTCTCGAGGAGGGGCTCTCTGCCGATTGGACCTGGGGCTTATAAAGATATCGACCTCTTGGCCCTCGGGAACGGCGAGCTCGATGGCAATCGGGCGGGATCGATCCCATGCGGGCAGTTCGTAGTCAACATAGTCTCCAGCAAGCACTTGGCCCTCGGCATCTTTCCAGATATCGATGGTGTGGCCCACCGTGCTCCCAGCCTCCGTCCCTGGCGCTCGTTGTGATTTGGCGGCAATCTGGCGGAGCGTCTCCCGAGCTTGCTCCTCATTGAGAGCCTCAATGTCGACTTCCAAGTCGGTATCGACGACGCATATTCCATCTCCTTCCGGGCCGAACTTGTCGATCAAAAAGCGAAACTCTTCGCCTTTGACGCCCTTGACGCTAAGAATTGATCCCAATGTAAGTGTTGTGAAGCTGGCCCGTAATTGCCGTTCGAGGAGAGATTTCCAGTCGTCGGGGTTATAACCTGCTTCTAGTGGTCGCAGTCGGACATATGTGCCCTTTGGTAATTGCTTCGCCTTGACAGTTATCATGATTGCGCCGGCCCCAGGTCCCCTTTCCGGGCTATCCTCTTCCGTGAGGTCGATGACCCCATCCTCGACAGCCGGCACCTCCTGTATTTCCCCCTCTTTTATGCCAAGGGCGTCGAGCAGGTGCGGGCTCAACGCTACCTCGCCCTCGTCGGCCGAGAACTCGCGAATCCCAGCATATACCGTGTTTCCATTCTTTCTGTTGACGAGCTGGAACATCAGCGGATGCGGGAGTTGTTGGTGGGTATCGTTGAACTGGGAGGTGTCGTGTCGCGCATGGTTGTTGGAGTAGGGGTTGAACCGATCGAAGGCAGTGAATGTGTGCGAGGTTGTCGCTGGTCGGGTGGTGGAGGCGGCGAGGAGCTGCTCGAGGGCGGATTGGGGGAGAAGGATCTTGTCTCCTTCCAGGCCCTTGGTCGCGACGCGGGAGGGAGGCGCGGCGCGGAGAGAGGCTGTCCAGTTTAGCTGCTGCAGAGGCTGGTCCTCCATCGTGCTGCGGCGTGTGGTTTATCCAGGTGTTCTCTTGTCTGCGCGTGGTCGGTCGGTGATTCGGTGGACTCGGTTCGAAAATGGTCGAATATTTCGAGATGGAGGGCTTGTTGGAATTGGGCTTTGGCGGAGTTCAAGGTCGAGATGACGAGCAGGACGTGGAAAAGGGTGTCGCGGGGCGGAGAGTCACAGGGAGAGTCGAGAGAAAATAAGTTTGGGTTATTCCATCTCCATCTGTCAGCTGCTTCGTCCAGGTTCCAGAACTGGGGACGTCATCCAGGCACCCGATTGTCGATTTCGCCCCAACCCATGTCCCTCCACTGTGCGAATAGGGCATCTCCCGGCCGGCAATATCGGAGACTTTTTGTCCAATTGTTACCGAGTACCGAGTGCGGACCCGGGCCGGAGAAAACCTGCCGGTCAATCGCCGACTTTGAACATTGCACTGACATTGTTTCATCTGCTGGGCAACTGTACTCGAGCTTGATCCTTCCGAGGAAACAAGGGAAGC